CTAAGATTCCAGTATATTGGTAACAAAAACAACTTCCAGGAAAAGAAATGGATCTTAAGGGTGAGACAACTAGAAGTTCTTATTCCTTTGTCCTACTCCTCTGCCTTTCTTTAATAAGTGTGGGATAATAGGAGACAGGTGTACACATTTTTCAAAAGCATCTAAGCTCCCAAATATATCTTAATGAGTGCAAAGGGATGTACTTGATTTGTCCTAATTAAAACCCTGAATGCTTAAGCTTTCATGCCAGACACAAAGGACAGCTGAATAACACTTCAGAATACTAGTCAAGAGAATTCTACAGAAAACCCTTAATAATTTCATAAATGTAAGATATCATGAAACATACCTAGGCAGACATTCAAAGTTTGGCTATGACTGCCTATGAGAAATAAAAATTGCTAATTGAGAACACATCAACACAATAGAAACAATCCCATCAAAATGCTAATTGACAAATAATTTCATGTTACCAACAAAGCCAATTCATTATTGAAAAATTAGCAAGAACTTCTGGCTTTCATGTCTCCATTCTCCAAGCATGTACCTCAAAGAAAATTAATATAATAAAATAAATAATAGAGACCATAATAAATACCCGTCCAAATGGTACATAAGAAGGTAAATATGGCAGCCTTTTCCATCTCCCATTATCCCCACCAGTGGTGTTGTTTTTTCCTGCTGACTTTTCGGTTGCTACATCTAAGGGCCCATTGTCAGTCTCAGAAAAAGGTCGAAGGGATATGCCATCAGTACCCTCTTGAATTTCAAGAGACTGTGGTCTAACAGTTATATCCTCAACTGAAGATGTTGCAGATTCAGTTGAAGTTGCCTCTAGGGGACCAACTTGCTTTCCTCTGTATTTGTTTAATTGTCTTCTAACACCTTCCAGTGGAACAAGCTTAGAAAGTCTCCAGAAAGGACTCTGGACAGGGCCTACACCCATAACCAACTGCTCCTCTTCATTCACTTTTAGTTTCTCTGCTCTCCCTTTCTCTGCCCCTCTTTCATCTTTTGAGGTTGATAAAACAGCATCTCCAACTTCACTTGTTGATAATAATGTCTGTGAGTTGTAATGATCAAAATAGGCAGGTGAAAGGAAACGAGGCACCAAATCTTCAGGAATGCAGTAACTCTTAAAATAATGTTGCCATCCTTTGTTATTAACATAACTGGAAAAAATATTTTACATCAATACACATATGAACTTTATCTTTTGACATTTCTGAGATAACTATTTACGAAAATGGTAAAGAACCTACTCTCTTAAGGCTGCATTCCCTACTGGAGGTTGGGAAAATGTTATACATTTGACCAGAACCTTCTCATTCTCTTTTGAAGAAGAGACAGCAACAACCCTCAAAATGGCAAGGGTAGCTAATGCTGCAACCTGCATAGCAAAAATAGAGTGGACAGAGAATTAATTGGTTGGAGAGTAGAAGCAAGGCAAATCTTAAGCAATGTTGGCTAATCAAACTTACTGCTCCACCAAGTGAATGTCCACATAGAACAAGTTTCCGTTTCTTTTTCTGAGCAAGCCGGTATAACTCCAAAGCAGGTATCCCTTTAGCACGAGCCAAGAAACCCTAAAGAGAATGTTTTAAAAGAAACAATTTAACAAGCAATATATGCTAGAATGTAGAGTATAATGGGATACCAAAAGCAAAAAGAGATCAACAATATCAAAAACGGACTCTGAGCATACCCTATGAGCAGCAGGTTTAGGTTTGTCTTTAATTTGCTTAGGTTTTATTTCAGGGGAATTCAGCTGATTTTCTCCATTTACTTTCTGCCTTTCACCTGGGTTACATTCAGTTGGTTCAACCCGGTCAAAATCCTCTACAACATCCTCATGAAATATATCCCCTTGCAGTATATTTGCATCGGCCATGACATCCCTTGGTGAAATCAAATGACAAAAAAATCACAATTTTAAAAAATAATAAGCAGTTAGAATATCAAATAATAAATTACCTACTATACTAACAAATTACCTATTATACTTACTTGTACTGTTTGGTTCCAATAAAGGAAGCAAATAAAGTGTCACCCGCTTCTGCCAACAAGTATCTGCAATACAAATACCTCTCACATAAAGTCATAAAAAAGGACATATCCATGCATCTTTGAGAGCCCAATTATGGAAAACAGATAAATTTGTCCAGATGAATATTCAAAATTTCATAGGAAGAGCATTCCCCAATGCTATGTGTACTTTCACCATGGTTATTTCTATCCTTGATCTCCTATGGGCTAGAACTTTGGTTGAGTCTTTATAAAAACTACATTTTTTAATATGTATAATGTAGGAACATTCAGTACTAATGAATTTGCAGGAAACAAGCTATACTCGGCACATCATCCAAGCTATGTAAAGGTTATGTGCACGAATCCCATTTTTCATTCCACTCCATATAGAACATTATCCTGATGTTAAAGCTGAGGGTAACAATGTCAGTTTTCCATTTTAGGGATAGATTTACTGATTTTCATTTTTTACCTTTAAATTTTCCAGTTTTCCATGTTTGATAATGTTTACAGACAAACAAGGAGCAGAGAGTATCCCTAGATATTTACATTGGCTTAAAAAAACTCATGCCAAATAGTGGACAAAAAGAATTTTTTTAGGAATGTCATGTACACCTTAGAAAAGCTAACCTTTTGTCCTTGTAAATATCTAGCAATTTAAATTGTATAATACTTCCAAGATTATCAATTATCTCATCAGACACCATCCATATTATTCTAGTGTCTACTGTCTAATGATGTATAACAGGTCCACCCCCTAGTAATCAAGATCTTCTACCAATACCTAACTGGATCAAATGGCTCCTTCTTTCCCCAGTGAACAAAAGAAACAAAAACAAAGTTTAATAAACCTCATCAAATAGATAATCAAATAACCTGTGAGAAACATGATCTGAAGAAGGTTGCACACGCTCAAGAGAAACAATTTGTCCTCCAAAGTCAGCTTTAAATTTGTTTACAGCTCGAACCATGTCAGTAGCAGGTCTCTACCAAGTCAGTAAGTGCAATACATAAGAAACCGCAAATTCTGTAAATAAGATGCATAACCAGGACTAATTCCACAATAAGAGGTTACTGCTACTTAATTCACAGCTCAAATTCTCAAATGAAACTAACACAAGCTTCTTGATCAAGCACAATGATGAATTTTTAAATCAAAATTCCGACGAAACAAGAAGGAAATAGCATAAGTTCGTCACCTACGAAGTACCTTGTAAACGCACTCAGAGAGGACCATGCAACAGAGAATGTCCTGCAAATCAGCGACGGAATCAGCCTTGACGGCGAGACAGAGCTCGTGGAGCTGGCGCTTCCGCCTCTCGTACTCCTGCTGGAGCTTCTGGCGCTGTTGCCTGTCGCCGTTGTTCCAGGGAAACCACTGCCATCTCATCCCCCACTGCAGTGGCGCCCGGGACACCTTCTGAATCTTGGCTCTCTGGTCCTTGATCCATGTCTCCACCCTCCTTTGCATCGACTCCATTGATTCAATTGGGATCGGTAATCTGCAAAATCCACTGTGTTCTGAGAAATATAGCGCGTTAAGGAAACCGAAAATGGATAGGAGAATCCGAGTTTAATTGGGGAAGCAGAAGAGGGTACGCCTCGCGGTTTTTGCGTGTCTTTCTATCTCTCTTGTTTTTCCCCCTTTTTTTTTTTTTTTTTTTTTTTTGGTACAAAGAAAAAGTCTATTTCTTTCAAAGATCCTAACTGCAAAGAACCATAATCTAAACAACCGAAAAATCAGCTTCTATGAACTATCTAACAGGTGAGATCAAACCATCATACAAGATGAAGTACTGTCTTTATCTTGGAAGAAGTGATCCAATATAAACAACCCTCAGAAATCTTTGAAACGAGTAGAGAAGACAAAGGATGGTACAAAATCAGAAGACGCCATAGGATCTCAAGCATGTTGAGTATGATCATATTGCGTGCAGCAGCTGTCTATGCTCTACCCTGGCCATTGTTGTATCCATCATAAGGCTTGGTGGACTTGCTGGATTTTCTCTTCAAAACTACAATCCAGGTAAGTGCTTCCAACAACACAGCAATGCCACCCAAGACAGCAATCAAAATGATGTAAGCTGTTTTCCAGTGTTCCCCGGGGAGCAAGATATTAAAACCCTTGAACACATTGATGATGCCGAGAATGATTATGCTGTATCCAAGGCCATGATGATAAATGTTCCAGTAAAATCGATACTTGTGGTCCTTGTTCGGTCTCAACAACAACGCAAAAATCTATCAGGAAAAAAATCAATCCAACTTTAGATTCAACAAGAAATCAGATGCCTACGTAAAAACAGAAATAATATCTTTGGAAAGCATCTCAGTTCACATAATTATGAAAATCGAAAGTGACACAGGAACACATTGGGGATAATTCCTTAAACTTCATGTCAACCATTTCAAAGCGTATCTGGATTATCATGACTAGCAAAATTTCAAATCTTCAACACTACAAAAGCAGAATTTGTTGAGTCCGGAATACACCACCAACAAATATGGTAATTGCATAACGTGTAGCCTACACCCTCATTTCGAATAAGAAACAGATAGTAAAAAGGGAATGAAAGAAATACAGCTGAAAGCAAACTATACCTGCACGGTTGCAAGAGAGAAAAGGGCAATCCCAATGTTGCGATGACCTCTGTATTGGACTCCCTTAGATTCAGCTCCAAGCTTCATACCAGTTCCCCAGCCAGCAACACCAATGACATAGGCTGATAATTGACAGAAAACATGAAGATAGAACCATGCTGGATCTGCAGACTCGAAAGTCCTCAAATACCGAGCAATAATGACTCCCACAGGAAACAAAATTCCCCAACTAACAACATTCAGTATTCCATGAATCTGTCATGAAAATAAACAAAGTTTTATAATTCATCCAATTATCCAAACCCCACCGCAGATCATCCATTTGCAACCCAAAAAAAAAAACCGCAATTGCTTGCCCTGAATCAAGTAAATTAGTCTAGTGATTATTGCATCAATTTTTCAAAACTATGAACTGTTCCATCTTGCCCTTCACCTCCGACTACAATGATATAAATAAACGAATAAGAAACCCAATTAGTAAAATTCCTAAATTTTCAAAAAAAAAGAAAAGAAAAGAAAAAAAAGAAACAAATTGAGAATACATATCACAACATATAATTCTTTTTTAAAAAAATTCAACGAAATTATCAGATTACTTAAAAATTACTAGTAAAATATCACCACAATATCTATAAATAAAAAACTAAAATCATACTTACATTTTTTTTCTTGGTCCTGCTGTCTCCACCCACACTAGCACTCTGTCCGCTTTTCAAATCTAAGGTTCCCTTTGCTGCCAAATTCGCAGGGGCAGTAGCGTGCGGCACCAACCCACCGTTTGTCCCTAACCCGGGCCCGACCTGCCAGACCTGATTGATTGCTCCTTTAGCCGCCAAATCCGCCGGTACCTTGATCTTCGCGAAGATCGTTAGAGTTCCATCCGACCCACTCTCCGCGGTATTGTCCCAGACCTCAAATGACAAATTCCCCTCCAAAATCGGACCGTACGAACTAATATTATAGGTCTTAACCATCGCACCACCGGATTTCTTGTAGGCAACGAGAGCCTGCGACCCGAGCATCCCGGTTCCCGTCGGATTGATGGCCCACGAGATCCAGCCGTCTGATTGAGACGGCTTCGCAACAAAGGCGACGGAAAGGGTGGAATTGGAGGAATTATAGGTGAAGTGAAGGTAGGAGGAGAGAGTAGGGAGGTCGAGGCATTTGGAGTAGAGGCGGTTTTTGGTGAAATTTTGGGAGTTGCAGGTGAGGGAGACCGCCGGTGAGATTAGCAGAGCCAAAAAGCTGAACAAGAAAAGGGGCGCCATTGACGGTGGAAAGGAAGTATGGTAGTTACAAAAAACTACTCAATGACAGAAATGGAGAAACTCAAGGAATGGAGAGATTAATTTGGCGGAATAAATAGAAAACTGGTTCTGCAGTGCAGGCTGTAAAATAAAAAATATTGTTAAAGAATATTTTATTTAAGTATTTATAAATAATTATTAGTTATTAATTTTAACT